AAATAAATAAAGAACGATTCTGCCTTGCTGCCTGTCAGCCTGTTAGTACTTTAAATGTCTCTTCCGTGTTTAATAGCGCAGCTCACTCCACTAGCAAACACTTGAGAAGCCTTCAGCTACGAATGTATTATGAGTCTTCAAAAAAAAAAAAGAGTTCATAAGAAAACAAGTTGTTTCTGGAAATTCAATTTACAGGGCTATTTAAAACACAATTTTGTGATATTAAAATAGTTTTTTTCTTTATTTATTTCTCCGCGGCTCCAATGAACTCTCCCAGCGGAACCTGCCCTGGTTGCTTGGTAACGGTGAACTTTAATAAACTTGTAAAACCATAATTAAACACTGTAAATAATTTATCGGCTTAATCTTCCTGCACGACCTTCGCTGGGCGCAGAAGAGAGGGAGATCCGTAGGAACAGTATGTTCAGTCATGCAGTTGCCAGCACTGTAACTGATCGGAGCACTGCTTGTGGCAACTGTGCAGGGCTCGCGGTGTAGACGGTTACAAGTTGTGCCAAAAAAGATTTTCCAGCATGTCGCCCACCAGGGCTGCAGATAAGGGGGTACCACCAGTCCTCCTGTACGGGGCCCAGGCCAGCAGGGGCGCACAGACAGCTGGGTGAATTGGATGTGGGCAGGGAGGGTGATGAGTGATAAGGAGAGGAGGGAAGCTGGTGGCACTGCGGGGGTGGGGGCACAAAGGGAGCCTGGGCAGCAGGGGGAAGCATATGGGGCACAGGGAGGGTTTTGGGTGTTGGGGGGTTGCTATTACTGGAACCAACCCCCTGTATGGCTCTCTCTGCAGCAGCTGGAAGCTGGCTTTCCCTCCCGCTGGTTTTTAGCTGCTGCAAAGAGAGCCATACAAGGGCTCTGGTTCCAGTAATAGCCAACCCGCCAACACCCAAAACCCTCCCCATGTCCCATATGTTTTCCCCTACTGCCCACCCCCGCAGTGCTGCCAGCTTCTCTCCTCTCTCTTACCACCACTTCAGACATGAAATATGAACAAAGCATATCCCTCTGTAGTGTATACCTGTCTTATTTAAGAGCACTAAGTGTAATTTCTGTCTGCTGCTTCTGACACCAAGAGAAAAAAGGTTGATAGGGGAGGGATCTCCAGCACACAGCCTTTGATTGACAGCCTCAGTGCTGTTCCTGTGAGCTGTGTGGAGGTGGTGTGTCTCTCTTCCCTCCAATCAGCAATCAGAGCTCTCCTTACTGAGCTCTGCAGTGTGTAATTTCAGCTCTCCACCCTGTTTTGTGAGCAGGGATAAGAAACAGAGATGTCTTAGTAACAACAGCACATATTGCAAATTTGTAGGCACATATTTAACCCCTTGATTGCCCTAGATGTTAATCAGTTCCTAGCCAGTGTCATTAGTACAATGCCAATGTACAGTATTATCATTAATGTCAATGGTGATGTCAGTGGCAGTTAGTCAGTTCCCCTCAGCATCAGTTAGTGTCAGATTGCCTTCAGCACTATCACAGTCCCATTATAAGTCCTGATGCACACTGGACAATTTTACAACTGCTGTATGTGGCTTTTGATGTTTTTCTACAGCTAGTAAACCCCCATCATGTCATCCTATGTGTCCATGCACACATAGACTGTAATCAACTTTTTTGGCTGGAAAAAAAACCCAGGATTAGTGGGTTTCTAGAGGAGTTTCTTTAGCTGTACAAACGCTCAAACGCTGAAAAACAAGGCAAAATGCAGTAAAATGCGGTAAAATGCCACAAACCAGCATGTTTGGATTTTTGCAACCAAAAAAATAATTCTTTTTGATTAAAAAAAGCTAAAAAAAAAAAAGCCACTAAACGCAAATGCAAAAACGCTAAAAAAACCTGAAAAACTCACGTCAATGTGACTTTACACCGCAAAAGTTACCAGCGTTATCAAAACGTCTAGTGTACATGAGGACTAAGTTGTTGATCACCATTAGTATTATAAAAAAATTAAAAAAAAATCCCAATATATACACCATAGTTTGTAGACCCTATACGTTTCATACAAACCAATTAATATGAACTTATTGGGATTTTTTTTTTGTTTTTATTACCAAAGGCGTGTAGCAGAATACATTTTGGCCAGATTTGATGAAAAAATATTATATTTTTATTGGATATGTTTCATAGCAGAAAGTAAAAAAAAATTGGTTATTTTTCAACATTTTTTATATTTTTTGGTTTATATGGCAAATACCACCAAAAGAAAGTCCTATTTGTGTGAAAAAAGCTACAAATTTTGTTTAGGTGCAGCGTTGTATGACTGCGCAATTACCAGTTAAATTAGCGCAGTGCTAAATAGGGAAAAATGGCCTGGATATGATGGGGGTAAAAACTTTAAGTGCTCAAGTGGGTAAGCCTGGTGATGAGGATACAGAGAGAAGTAAAAGCTGTGTATTGCTACAGGATGAAGCTATACTCTAGGGAGGGAGGTTTTGGGTTAAATCTGGGCATTGCATGGTCATACATTGTAACACCGGACACGATAAAAGTGGAAGTTTCTGATTTTTCAGCTTTGGTGTAAGCTGGAAGACCCCTTTAACATAAGAGGGCTAGGTGCAGCGAGCAGAGAGCGAATTGTTCTCAATAATTCATGAAGGCGCACACAGGCTTGCGGAACCCTAAACAAAGGCGCTATCACAACAATCTGCCTCTTTCATCTGCGGCCAGGATTTAGAGGGGACGGTGATGCTCCAAATCAAAAGCACAATCACTCATTTGTGAACAGATGTCCCTCACGCGGCAGGCAGCACTTTTTGAAAGCCGACCAGAACAAACGCACCGCTGTGAGACAAGTCCCCCTACCCATTAAATAAAGAACACAGTATATATTAATTTAGCAGGTTGTTGAGTAATGTTTCAAAGCCCAAATAATGATGTTGAAAAATTGCATAGAGAAATAAAACTCTTTTGCAGCAAGATATCTGGAGCAGGATGAAGCAATTAGCCAGCTTCAGGTGCAGAAATGTTTCGCAGAATTTCCAGCTAAGAGCAGAAAGAGGAAGGAAGAACACGGCACAGACGCTATAATAATAGTATAACTGTTCCCATTCTTTCACAGCATTGAGGAGATGGGAAGCAGATAAAAGAATAGTTAAATTCCACTGTAATTTATTATGGGAGGATAAATAGGTACAAGGAATGAATGGTGTGACGCATAGACACACACAGATGCACAACAGATCTGAAGAATGTTTATATACAGTCAGGTCCATAAATATTGGGACATTGACACAATTCTAACATTTTTGGCTCTATACACCACCACAATGGATTTGAAATGAAACAAACAAGATGTGCTTTAACTGCAGACTGTCAGCTTTAATTTGAGGGTATTTACATCCAAATCAGGTGAACGGTGTAGGAATTACAACAGTTTGCATATGTGCCTCCCACTTTTTAAGGGACCAAAAGTAATGGGACAATTGGCTTCTCAGCTGTTCCATGGCCAGGTGTGTGTTATTCCCTCATTATCCCAATTACAATGAGCAGATAAAAGGTCCAGAGTTCATTTCAAGTGTGCTATTTGCATTTGGAATCTGTTGCTGTCAACTCTCAAGATGAGATCCAAAGAGCTGTCACTATCAGTGAAGCAAGCCATCATTAGGCTGAAAAAACAAAACAAACCCATCAGAGAGATAGCAAAAACATTAGGCGTAGCCAAAACAACTGTTTGGAACATTCTTATAAAGAAAGAACGCACCGGTGAGCTCAGCAACACCAAAAGACCCGGAAGACCACGGAAAACAACTGTGGCGGAAGACCGAAGAATTCTTTCCCTGGTGAAGAAAACACCCTTCACAACAGTTGGCCAGATCAAGAACACCCTCCAGGAGGTAGGTGTATGTGTGTCAAAGTCAACAATCAAGAGAAGACTTCACCAGAGTGAATACAGAGGGTTCACCACAAGATGTAAACCATTGGTGAGCCTCAAAAACAGGAAGGCCAGATAAGAGTTTGCCAAACGACATCTAAAAAAGCCTTCACAGTTCTGGAACAACATCCTATGGACAGATGAGACCAAGATCAACTTGTACCAGAGTGATGGGAAGAGAAGAGTATGGAGAAGGAAAGGAACTGCTCATGATCCTAGCATACCACCTCATCAGTGAAGCATGGTGGTGGTAGTGTCATGGCGTGGGCATGTATGGCTGCCAATGGAACTGGTTCTCTTGTATTTATTGATGATGTGACTGCTGACAAAAGCAGCAGGATGAATTCTGAAGTGTTTCGGGCAATATTATCTGCTCATATTCAGCCAAATGCTTCACAACTCATTGGACGCCGCTTCACAGTGCAGATGGACAATGACCCAAAGCATACTGCAAAAGCAACCAAAGAGTTTTTTAAGGGAAAGAAGTGGAATGTTATGCAATGGCCAAGTCAATCACCTGACCTGAATCCGATTGAGCATGCTTTTCACTTGCTGAAGACAAAACTGAAGGGAAAATGCCCCAAGAACAAGCAGGAACTGAAGACAGTTGCAGTTGAGGCCTGGCAGAGCATCACCAGGGATGAAACCCAGCGTCTGGTGATGTCTATGCGTTTCAGATTTCAGGCTGTAATTGACTGCAAAGGATTTGCAACCAAGTATTAAAAAAAAAAGTGAAAGTTTGATTTATGATTATTATTCTGTCCCATTACTTTTGGTCCCTTGACAAGTGGGAGGCACATATGAAAACTGTTGTAATTCCTACACCGTTCACCTGATTTGGATGTAAATACCCTCAAATTAAAGCTGACAGTCTGCAGTTAAATCACATCCTGTTCGTTTCATTTCAAATCCATTGTGGTGGTGTATATAGCCAAAAATGTTAGAATTGTGTCAATGTCCCAATATTTATGGTCCTGACTGTATATATATATATATATACACAAACAATGTATATACACTATATTGCCAAAAGTATTGGGACACCCAGCCAAATCATTGGATTCAAGTGTTCCAATCACCTCCATGGTCACAGGTGTATAAAATCAGGCACCTAGGCATGCAGGCTGCTTCTACAAACATTTGTGAAAGAATGGGTCGCTTTCAGGAGCTCAGTGAATTCAAGCGTGGTACCGTGATAGGTTGCCACCTGTGCAATAAGTCCATCCGTGACATTTCCTTCCTACTAAATATTCCACGCTCAACTGTTAGTGGTATTTATAACAAAGTGGAGGTAACTGGGAACAGCAGCAACTCAGCCACCAAGTGGTAGGCCACGTAAAATGACAGAGCGGGGTCAGCGCATACTGAATCACACAGTGCCCAGAAGTCGCCAACTGTCTGCAGAGAGTCAATAGCTAAAGACCTCCCAACTTCATGCGGCCTTCAAATTAGCACAACAACAGTGAATAGAGAACTTCATGGAATGGGTTTCCATGGACAAGCAGCTGCATCCAAGCCTTACATCACCAAGTGCAATGCAAACCGTCAGATGCAGTGGTGTACTGACTGCATTGTGCCAAGTGTAAAGTTTGGTGGAGGGGGGATTATAGTGTGGGGTTGTTTTTCAGGGGTTGGGTTTGCCCCCTAGTTCCAGTGAAGGGAACTCTTAAGGCATCAGCTTACCAAGACATTGTGGACAATTCCATGCTCCCAACTTTGTGGGAACAGATCCTGTTCCAACATGACTGCGCATCAGTACACAAAGCAAGGTCCATAAAGACATGGAGGAGTGAGTTTGGGGTGAAGGAACTTGACTGGCCTGCACAGAGTCCTGAGCTCAACCTGTTAGAACACCTTTGGATGATGAATTAGAAGCGGAGACTGCAAGCCAGGCCTTCTCTTCTGACATCAGTGCCTGATCTCACAAATGCGCTTCTGGAAGAATGGTCAAACATTCCCATAGACACACTCCTAAACCTTATGGACAGCCTTCCCAGAAGAGTTGAAGCTGTTATAGCTGCAAAGGGAGGGCCAACTCAACATTGAACCCTGCGGATTAAGACTAGGATGCCATTAAAGTTCATGTGAGTACAAAGGCAGCATCCCAATACTTTTAGCGTGTGTGTGTATGTGTGTATATATATATATATAATAATATATATATATATATATATATATATTTATTTATTTATTTTTAATAGTTAGAAGTTTTTTTCCATGATTCAAACTTAAAGTGAAAACATTAGGAGAGTTCAGGGGCTGCTAAAAAAAAAAACACAGAAAAGCTCCAGAACGTGAGTTTATCAACTGCAGTGTACATGAGCCCCAATGCGACTTAGAGTCCCATGGACTTTAATGTTGCATGAAAGTCACTCTGCAGTCACACTGGAAATTGCACATGACAATTGGGGTCGCAGCAGTGTTGAACCGAGGCTAATGCAACTTACAACATCTAAGAACTGGAAAGGTGCAATAAATACATTGTTATATTGGGTTTATTTATCCTTTTATATTATAGAAATAGAGGAATACTTGGACTCCATAACATTGGAGAAGGGGGGGGGGGGGGTTCAGATCTGAAGTCTAGGAAAATATTATTACTGTTGAATTTCTGAACGGATACTTGAACGAATATCAGATTTGAGTACAATTCTAGACAACAGTTGGTATGAGCTGGAAATCCAAATACATGGAGGTTACATTATTTATAATATGTATTTATACCAATGTTAATATGCATGGCACGCCGTGAATGTGCTTCGTTCCCTTACAAGCTGCCTATCCCTATATATTCTTTTCTCCATTTTTTGTAAATTTTGCATAAATATCTCCTGGAATGAATTCTGTTTTGTCGCACATTTCCATTTTACCAAGTCATTGGGGCTACTAGCACTGATTGAATGCAGCTAATAAGTCTAACTGTGAGAATTAATCAATTTGCAAATACATCATTGAGAGTAATAGATCAGGTAAGGAGTATCTGCTATCCCTAAACTTGTTACAGGGAACATCGACCACATTGAGCACAGACTCCTGAATTAATAGCACACCCCTGGGAGCGGGGCCTCCTTGCTAATAAGCTGTGAATAAGGAACTGCAGCTGTTGATCTAGGCAGGTAAAATGTTTGTTGCAGGTCTGTCTGAGAGAAAAGAAATAATTGTGTGATACCACTAAACCAGAGGTGTGAACATTCGAAAATATTTCTTAGTATACCATATTGCTATATGCAAAATAGTGTATATCTAATGTCCTTCAATGAGAGATTCCAGTTTGGACTTTTATGTCCACCCTTACACACACACACATATATATATATATATATACAGTTGTGTTCAAAATAATAGCAGTCAGACATCACTAACCGGATCAATCACTGTTTTGGTAGAAATGATATTTCTACATGGCAAATAATTTACTAGCAGGTATAGTAGAGTAATAGAAATCCAACAGATCCAACAGTCATGACATGCATGCTGCTGATTCTGTGTAATTGAATCACTAATTGAATGGGGCATGTTCAAAAATAATAGCAGTGTGGAGTTCTATTACTGAGGTCATTCATTCTTTGAAAAAAAACAGGTGGCAATTATTGCCCTTGTTTAGGGAAGGAAGGCAGCAAATGTTGTACATGCTGGTTAAAGTGCATTTCTCTCTGAAATTCTGAGGAAAATAGGTTGTTCCAGATATTGTTCAGCAGAACAGCGTACCTTGATTAACCACTAGCCTACAGGGCACTTATACCCCCTTCCTGCCCAGGCAAATTTCCAGCTTTCAGCGCTGTCACACTTTGAATGACAATTGCTTGACGCGGCCATGCAACACTGTACCCATATTACATTTTTTATCATTTTTTTGTGACAGATAGAGCTTTATTTTGGTGGTATTTAATCACCTCTGGGTTTTTTTTTTCTTAAACAAACCAAAAAACCACTGAAAATTTTGAAAAAAAAAATGATTTTTGTTAGTTTTTGTTATAAAATTTTGTAAATAAGTGATTTTTTTCTCTTCACTGATGTGCGCTAATGAGGCTGCACTGATGGGCACTGATAGGCTGCACTGATGGACACTGATTAGGTGGCACTGATGGGCACTGATGAGAGGCACTGGTAGGTGGCACTAATGGGCATTGACAGGCATCACTGATGGGCACTGAAAGGCAGCACTGATACATGGCACTGATATATGGCACTGATAGGCGGCACTGACTGGCACTAATAGGTGGCACTAACTGGCACTGATAAGCGGCACTGACTGGCACTGTTAGGCGGCACTGACTGGCACTGTAGGTGGCACTGACCGGCACTAATGGGCGGCAACTGATGCGCACTGATAGGCAGCACTGACTGGCACTGATAGGTGGCACTGACTGGCACTGATAGGTGGCACTGATTGGCATTGATAGGTGGCACTGACTAGCACTGATGGGTGACACTGAAAGGCAGCTCAGATGGGCACTGATATGTGGCACTGATGTGGCACTGATGGGCACTGGCACGAGGCACCGATGAGCACTGACATAAGGCACTGATGGACACTGACAGGTGGCACTGCTGGGGCTTACACTGATCATCAGGGCACACTGATCATCAGTGCCCTGAATGATTCAGTGTACACTGTCCCCTCCGTGGAAAGCCGATTACCGGCTCGCCTCTCCTCTCGAGCTGTCAGCGTGACAGCCCGAGAGGAGAGAAATGCCGATAACCGGCTCATTTCCATGTTTACATGGGATCAGCTGATCACATGACCGAGCCGACATCTTCGGCTCTTTTCTGTGATCGGTGATCCGCCGATCGCCGTGCTGCGCACTCCCTGAGCCGTGCAGTGAGATGGGAGGACGTCATATGACGTCCTCCCAGAACGAGAGAACCACCTTGCGCCCATCATATTACTATATGGCGGGCGGTGGTTAAAAATTTGATTGGAGAGGGGAAAACATAAAGAAGTGCAGAAAATGATAGGCTGCTCAGCTAAAATGATGGCAAATGCTTTAAAATGGCAACCAAAACCTGAAAGACGTGGAAGAAAGCAAAAAACTACCATTCGAATGGATATGAAGAATAGCCAAAAACGGCAAGGACTCAGCCAACAATCAGCTCCAGGAAGAATCAAAGAAGGTGTAAAGTTACCTGTGAGTACTGTTACAATTAGAGATTGCTGCCTATGTGAAGCCAAGCTATCTGCAAGAAGAGCCCCCCGCCAAAGTCCCACGTCCCAAAAAAAGACAAGTGCTGAAGAGGTTACAATTTGCAAAAGAGCACCATTGGACTGGCCTAAAGAGAAATGGCGCAACATTTTGTGGACTGATGAAAGTAAGATTGTTCTTTTTGGGTCTAGTGGCCGGAGACAGTTTGTCAGACGGCCCCAAACACTGGAATTCAAGCCACAGTACAACGTGAAGACAGTGAAGCATGGTTGCGCAAGCATTCATGATATGGGGATGTTTCTCATACTACGGTTGTCGGGTCTATTTATCGCATACCAGGGATCATGGATCAGTTTGAATACATCAGAATACTTGAAGAGGTCATGCTGCCTTATGCTGAAGAGGAAATGCCCTTGAAATGGGTGTTCCAACAAGACAATGACCCCAAACACCACCAGTAAACGTGCAACATCTTGGTTCCAGACCAACAAGATTGACGTTATGGAGTGGCCAGCCCAATTCCCGGATCTTAATCCAAAAGAAAACTTGTGCGGTGACATCAAAAATGCAGTTTCTGAGGCAAAACCAAGAATAGAGAAGAACTGTGGAAATGTAGTCCAATCATCCTGGGCTGGAATTACCTGTTCACAGGTGCCAGAAGTTGGAGTGACTCCATGCAACACAAATGTACAGCAGTTCTCAGAAACAGTGCTTATACAACTAAATATTCATTAAGTGATTCAAAGGAAAGCAAAATCTTCAAACATTTTTTCAGTTTATATAGTGAATGTTTGAGTTTGTAAAGAAGGAATACAAACACACTGCTATTTTTTTGAACAGTCTAATTTTCACTTTTCTTCAATTTTTTTAGAGGAACAACACAAAGTTTGATATATTTTTCTTCATGTTTTGATTTGGAATAGAATGTGTAGTGTTCCCAATGCATTTGTGTGTATGGAAATAAAGGCTATTAGAAGACTTTTGAGCTTTATTCACTCTTTTCAACACACTGCTATTATTTTGAACACAACTGTGTGTGTATATATATATATATATTATATATATGAAAAAAGAAATTTTATATATATAGTATCTCCCAGAAGTGAGTACACCCCTCACCCATGTTTGTTGTAAATATTTTATTAGAACCTTTCATGTGACAACGCTGAAGAAATGAAACTTTGCTACAATGTGACGTAGTGAGTGTATCAGATTGTATAACATGTAAATTTGCTGCCCCTCAAAAATAACTCAACACACAGGCCATGAATGTCTAAACCGCTGGCAACAACAGTGAGTACACCCCTAAGTGACAATGTCCAAATTGGGCCCAATTAGCCATTTTCCCTCCCGTGTCATGTGACTCGTTAATCTTACAAGGTCTCAGGTGTGAATAGGAGCAGGTGCGTTAAATTTGGTGTTATCGCTCTCACTCTGTGCTACTGGTCACTGGAAGTTAAACATGGCACCTCATTGCAAAGAACTCTCTGAGGATCTGAAAAAAAGAATTGTTGCTCTACATAAAGATGCAATATTTACCTTTTGCCCTAAATTACCACACCAGTCATCAGATCACCTGATGGCCAAATTACTTTCAGGTGGGGGTCAGCTCTGACATAAGGAAGCAAAGATTGCTCTTCTACCAAGATGGCCAGTTACCCCACCAGTCATCAGTGGGCCAGCTCTGACATAAGGAGACAAAGCTTTCTCCTCTACCAAGATAGCTAGTTACCCCACCAGTCATCAGAGGGCCAGCTCTGACATAAGGAGACAAAATTTCTCCTCTACCAAGATATCCAGTTTCCTCACCAGTCATCAGAGGGCCAGCTCTGACATAAGGAGACTAAGCTTTCTCCTCTACCAACATGGCCAATTACCCCACCAGCCATCAGATCACCTGTCATCATGAGGTCAGCACTGACATAAGTTGGCAAAGTTTTCTCTCCTCTACCAAGATGGCCAATTACCCAGCAGTCATCAAATCACCTGTCATCAGGAAGCAAAGCTTTCTTCTCTACCAACATGGCTAATTACTCCATCAATCAATAAATTACCTGTCGTTAGGTGGTCAGCTTTGAAAATTAGAAAGCAAAGCTTTCTCCTATACCAAGATGGCCAATTACCCAACCAGTCATGAGATCACCTGTCATTAGGGGGTCAGCTCTTATATAATGAATCAAAGCTTTCTCCTCTACCAAGATGGCCACCTTCACATAACAAAACAACACCTGCAGGGAGCCTATAGGCAATATTGGTGACTAGTAAATTGCCCTCTGCTTGACTTTTTTGACAACAGCCCACACAGTTAAGGTTGACTGTAAAGGTTTCAGGTGGACAAAGATGTTCAGTTTCCTTTAAAATATGTTTTTGCTTTCATTCCAGGCATAGAAATAGTTAGATACATTCCTTACTAGACTCAAATCAGTAGAAATTAATCCTAAATAAGATGTTTCTTTAGATATGTAAAATTTGCCATATCTGCACAAAAAATAATGCATTCAGCATTTATGTAACTTTGTCGTGTAGTCTATTGTTCTCCTAGGGCTGTTCTTACAGTTTAGTTTAAAGAGGCTGAAAGAAACAGCAATAATCTTCTGTATAAGTGTAAGAAGGGCTTGTTGAGGGGAGAAGCCCATTGTCTTGGGTGGTTGTCTATGGGAAAGTGCAGCTCATATCAGGTAGAATGACAACGTGTATCCTTGTCTTTGGTAGTCTAGCAGTCCAAGGGGGAACGGCAAATTGTGAAGGTCTCAATACAATCGTGTAATTATCAGTGGTGCTTATCCTTATTAAAATAAGCAGGGCTAGTCTGATCATTTCCATTTCAAAGAAAAGTCAAGAGATCAGCAGATGCAAGAGTTAGCCAACTTGGCCCTGGCAAAGGCTGCAAGAAGGCAGGCATGAGCATGGGTTGGTATACCAAGACACTGGCTGAACAGAAGGTCAAGAATCTCCTGGGTGGAATTTCTATAAAAGGAACTATGCCTAATTTAAGGTGTTGCTGTAAGAAAATCCATCAACAACTCAGGCAGGGTAAATTGTTTTTAGAAGGGAAAAGTCCTTACAGCCCAAACTGCCAAACATGCAAATTGTAGCAAGACCGGTGATCAAGAATTAGAGATTGTGTTCCTGTTCTTTAGCTGAAGTTTTTCCTTTTGCCATTTAACCATGCTCTGGAAGTAGCTCTAGTTTTGGTTACAAGCAGGGATGGGACTATAAAGAATGGGGCAGGAAGGGCAACTACCCTCTTGTGATGGGGATGAACTGCGCTGCATGCACACTCCAGAATGGTGATGTCCAGGTGGCTGTGTTCCCTGTAGGCATTTCAAGGCTTTAAACTGATACTAAAGTCTTGGGTTTTTTTTAAAATAACAAACATGTCATACTTGTCTGCTATGTGCAGTGGTTTTGCACAGAGCAGCCCCGATCCTTCTTTTCTTGGGCACCCTGCTGATGCTCCTGGCCACTCCTTCCTGTTGGGTGCCCTCACAGCAAGCAGCTTGCTATGGGGGCACCCGAGCAGGTGCACTCCTGAGACGTGGCTCTGCATGTCCATTCACACAAAGAGCACAGCTGGGCTCCACCCCCTCCTTCTCCTGATTGCCTTTCTGGTTGTGATTGACAGCTGAGGGAGCCATTGGCCTCAGCCAATCAGGAGTGAGAGCCCCTGGAGAACCGAGGCTCCTCTGGACATCGCTGGATCGAGAGGGGGCTCAGGTAAGTATTAGGGGGCTGCTACACACAGAAGGTTTTTACCTTCATGCATAGAATGCATGAAGGTAAAACACCTTGAGCCTTTAGAAACCACTTTCAGCTGAATCTCCTAGATTGTAAGCTCCAAGGATCAGGGCCCTCCTATCCCTCTTGTATTGAACTGTATTGTTGCTGTATTGTCTCCCTTATATTGTGAAGCGCTGAGCAAACTGTTGGCGCTATATAAATCCTGTATAATAATAATAATAAGTATTAAACCTATGTATTATATTGAACCAATTCTGAGGTGTGATGGCTGCATTCGTTTTCTTTTTTTATGTTTTCTTTCCTTTATTTTCACCTAGTAATCGGGCCAGCAAGTCTGTTGTTTTTCAACAGAAAAAGCTGTCCTGCCGATGTAGCAGTTAGAGGGATGAGACAAACCATTTACAACTGATAGGATTGCTTATGATCAACTTTTATTTATTCATGTAAAACCTTTACCCCAAAAGGGAAAAAAAAACTGCTGTGACTGCTTATAAATTATTAGATTGAGTTTGACTTCAAATTGT